GATCTGAATTTTTTGTAATGATCACATGGATAATGTTGGATTTTTTGCCTCTAAAACATGCTAAATTTTGAACGTACTTTCTAGTGATCACGTGTGACTTTTTTATGAATTTTGTTTTTGTAAAGAAATGTCAAATTTGGTAAAGATATTGTTCAGTTACATGGAAAATTTAGAAAATTATGTGTCATAAATCATGTCACATATTTACAGTAAAGCTTGTAATGGTCACATGGCAAATGCTGGATTTTTTTTGCCTCTAAAACATGCTAAATTTTGAGCATGCTTTCTACTGGTCATGTGGCACTTTTTTATGAATTTTTGCTTTATACAAAATGTCAAATTTATAAAAATATTGTTCAGTTACATTGCAAATTTAGAAATTATGTGTCATAAATCATGTCACATATTTACAGTAAAGCTTGTAATGGTCACATGGAAAATATACTATTTGTATGCAAAGTTTGAAAATGTTTTCTACTAGTGACATGAGAATTGTAAAAAATTCTTTGTGTACACCATGGCAAAATTATAGTCTTACGTACATTCTAATGGAATATGTGGATCCATTGTTTCCTAAACACTGACAATTTTGAGGGGAATATTGTAATGGTCACATGGAAGTGTCGGAACGTTGTTGTAGGAATGTTGCTCTCTGCAACATGACAATTTTTTAGATGATTTTGTAGTGGTAACATGGCAAATTCACAAAAAATTGAATTCACATGGCAAATTTCTTGTGTTCCAAATCATGGCAAGCTAGGGAAATTTAGTCATTGTCCCATGGAAAATGTAGGAAAGTTTGTTCTCTACAACATGATTTTTTTAATAAAAAATTGTAATGGCCACATGACAAAATTTTGAATTTTAGTTACAAAGTTAGCCATTATATAAGCTTTGGTGTCTTGATTTATGTACAATTGCAATGATGCATGATCATTGCAATATTTTTGGTGATACAAATCATGGTAGTTCAAAGGATCGATATAGTTAACTAGAGGGGGGTGAATAGGCAACTAACAATTTTTAGCTTTTCTTTACCAATTTCAACTTTGCATCAAAGTAGGTTGTCTAGATATGCAACTAGGTGAGCAACCTATATGATGCGATAACAACAAGCACACAAGCAAGTAAGAGATGCAACACAAAATAAACTTGCACAAGTAAAGGTGAGAGATAACCAAAAGGGGAACCGATGGAGACGAGGATGTGTTACCGAAGTTCCTTCCTTTTGAGGGGAAGTACGTCTCCGTTAGAGCGGTGTGGAGGCACAATGCTCCCCAAGAAGACAATAGGGACACCGTATTCTTCTCACAAACTCACACAATGCAAGATGCCGTGATTCCACTATTGGTGCCCTTGGAGGCGGTGACCGAACCTTTACAAACAAGGTTGGGGCAATCTCCACAACTGAATTGGTGGCTCCCAACGACACCACGAAGCTTCACCACAATGGACTATGGCTCCGAGGTGACCTCAACCGTCTAGGGTGCTCAAACACCCAAGAGTAACAAGATCCGCTAGGGATTAGTGGGGGAAATCAAATTTCTCTTGGTGGAAGTGTAGATCTGGGCCTTCTCAACCAATCCCGAGCAAATCAACAAGTTTGATTGGCTAGGGAGAGAGATCGGGCGAAAATGGAGCTTGGAGCAACAATGGAGCTTTTGGGGGAAGAGGTGGATCAACTTTGGAGAAGAAGACCTCATTTTATAATGGGGGGAACAATCCAACCGTTACCCCCCAAAATAGCCCCGCGGAGGGCGATACTACCGCAGGGGCTAGCGGTACTGCCGTGCAGTCTGGGAGGGCAAGAAGATGAGAAGGAGTCGGACCTAGTGCGGTACTGCCGTGGTGGTAGGGCGGTACTACCGCTCTCGAGCGGTACTACCGCTTCTACTGCCGCGACTTAGTGTCGCACAATCCGACACGTCAGGCGACCCCCTCGAGTCGAGGCGGTAGGAGCCCGGTACCGCAGCGGTACTACGGCTGAAGACCCCCAGGCGGTACTACCGCTGCAGAGCGGTACTGCCGCCTGTGGCTCTTGAGCGGTACTACCACTGGGCACCGCGGTACTACCGCTGGGACCAAAACATGCTCAAGGAAGGAATTGAAGGCTCCATCGAAGCGGGAAGGCTCAGAGGGTGCAAAGAGGATGTGTACGTGTTGATTCCACCCTAGCCTTACCAAAGCGGACCCCCTCTTGATAGTACGGTGACTCCTACGAAACATGTCCACCAAAACAGAAACGAAAGAGCTACACCGTCTTTGATTAGAAGTCCAAGGGATAGGAATCGTCTCGTGCCAAAGGATGAATCTCTGGAATGCTCAAAGCACACGATTAGTCTGCAAACGTGTTGTCATCAATCACCAAAACTGCATAGAGAGAGATATGCCTTAACAATCTCCCCCTTTTTGATGGAATGATGATAACCAGGGATTTGCACAAAGATAGGACAAGAAAGCAAAGATAAACTCAGAACTATAAAATATAGACGGGCTCCCCTTGAATGTGTGCACCTAACTATAGGTGCCTTTGGAAGCAAGGCACACACATTAGGATCAACACTCCCCCTATATTTTATAGTCCAACAACCTAAGCAGATGGAATGTGTGAGCAGGGTATATAACAGGATAAGCATGCAACTCACAAATTACCAAAGTACTTGATGGACATAGATAATAATGGATAAGGTAGCATATGTCTCGCACCATATGAACTGGAACTAGGTCTCACAGGCACAAAACCAAACAAGGCAAACGACGAGAGAAAAGACACAACACGGCAACGACACAAATCCACACAACACGACAATGACACAAATCCCTAGACTCTCTCCCCCTTTGGC